TGTTTTTCTAAAAGAAAATAATATATCTGGTCTGTATGAAAGTGGTATTTCTTTAAAAAGACAAAAAAGTGCATCAATCTTTAGACCGTTAATCATACCTACGGGGGTCATTTGGGTAATTTTGAAATGAGTGGTAACGACCACAAAACGAACTGATTTTTTCGGTCCTTCTTTCCCTCCTCCGCCATCTGTCTCTGGCTCTATCGTTCTCATGGCTTCTCGACTCTCATTCAGTCCAATCCCAGAATTCTCTGCTAAAAGTTTCCCACAACAACCCCGACAAGTGCCTCTTTTTGCAATTCCGCCACTGGGTTTCCCGTCAAAGTATGCTCATTCAAGAACCATATCTAGCTCCAGAGTTGAATTTGTACATTCGCTTCGGGCTGTGAGAGAGGAAGTCGTACAATCTCCAAATTCAGAATCCACAGATGATTCCAAAACCGCCCCTTCTTCCTCTTCCAAGCTCGTTCTCGTCGTTGGTGGCACCGGGGGTGTTGGTATGGCCTAATCGTCTTTTTCCACTCTGTATTCTTCTTTCTTTTGCTTATGATGAAGTATATGCGTAAACGATTATCTTATTGAAACTTTCGATATGTTTGTTTGGGATTTGGAGATCTAACAAATTCTGTCTCTTTTAATTCGTGTGTTATTATGTAACCAACCTTAATTGAAAACATCGACATTCTTCCTTCCATATTTGAATCCTTTGTAACCGTTTTCTTTCTTGTAACCAACTATTTGTGGTGGTTTATCTGTTGTCGAAATCGAATCATAATCAATTTTGCCTTCTGTTCTGCCTTCTGCCTAATGGAAAATATTTTATGCTAAGTTCAACGAACATCGCATCTTGAAAGTTGTGTTCAACTCTTGTTTGACATTCAGAAGTTTGTTTATGTATTTTTTTTTTCCTTTGAGTAATTCAATTAGAGTTTGGTACTACTTTTGTATAATTTGATTGTTTTAGTACTGTGTATTATTTATCATCCCGTTACTTTTGAAAGTAATGAACTTCTTATTCTTATGTTGTCCTGAATATTTTATTTCTATACTATAATACTAGTAAGTATCGATACTGACGAAAATATGTTATAAATTTAGTGTTTGGGTTAAGCACTGTGTGAATAGATTGGGTTGGTTACCAAATTTAGTTTTTACGGTGTGGGTGGACAGTTACTCAGTTACTCTCCCTCGCCCTCTCCCCTCTCTCTTTTCCTCTTCTTCTTTCTCATCTGCAAAAGCAATTCTCAATTGCAATTGGCGAGGATGAAGGCGGTGCACGCATTGTCGCCGATTATCGTCTTGGTGCCTGCTTTTTACATTTACAATGACTGAAGTAAATAATAAACCAATCGGATAACCGGCTGAAGATGTGAGTCTTGGATAAAAAGATGAATCTTCAAGCAAAGGAATAATATCCGGCCAATTAAGTCGTCAAGAATTCAAGATAATTCAACAAATTTTGACGGTGAAATTTCTTGCTTCTGATGAATGTATTTCTCTCAGGGCAATTGGTAGTTGCATCGTTGCTCAACCGGAATATAAAGTCACGCCTAATACTGCGGGACCCTCAGAAAGCTGCTACGTTATTTGGTGAACAAGATGAAGAGACATTACAGGTACCTACTTCCTTGTGACTTATTCATCTGTTATCATGAACTTTTAATTGTGCTGAATTGTCCCCAAATCTAATATAAAGTTTCTCTGTGCCTCAAAATCAATGAATGATGTTACAATTTGATAGGAAATGCTCTCATACACATGATATGATGTGCTTCATCTGTCATTTAAAGTTTAGTTCCTTCCTTCAAATTAACGAGTTTATGTAACGTGCATGAGAGCGTTTTCTTCCGAATTTAATAGCCATCATCAATTTGGAGCACTCTCCAACACTTTGCCAATCAATTCAAAATGTAATTTGTCAAAGTTAAAAGTTTAGTGGAAAAATTGTCAACCGGGAGGCAGATATGCCATATACCCTATACTTTATTCCCACTGGCTTATTATTATATGGAGTCTCTACTTTTTGGTTTGACTTAACTGTGTGTGATACAAAATTTCTTGCTTCACATATTATCTTCAAAATTTCTTGGCATATTCACATATTGTTATAAAGTCTCTGTTTTATTCTTTTTTTTTTTTTTTT